AAGMMAAGRGGGARGTAGCTGTTCCAACATGGATACAGTCTCTGCAGACTGAAAAACCATGGAATGTTCTTGACCAAATTCTTAGCAGGCAAGTAAGAAAAATAAAAAATTACCCCTAAAGGGTCCATTTCCACTACAGATKCCTCCTTCCACACTGAGTGCTGTGTCCTTGTGAGTGGCAGGATTTTTTATTGCTGCTGTGGGCAGCAATAGTCCTGAGAAGAGTATCAATTTAGCCTGGATGTYCACCAGTGGGATAACAGGACTTGTTGTTTTCCACACAACAACAGAGAGTTAATACACCTGAGTGACCAGGACAGGGACCAGGACTACAGGAACAACTTGCCAGGGCAGTCCAGCTCTGCACAAGCCAGACTTTGTACCCTACTCCATGTAGAAATCTTTAAAGAGCTGTTGCCATTGCCTGACTGTGGTGTGCACTCCCACCTTTCCACATTCCTGTGCTCTCCTCTCCTTCTAGAGAAAAGTCATCACTCCATACTAAAAATGCTGCCACATAAAGCTGCTGGGGGTTGGAAATTTAGCCACGTTCAATGGCAATATAATTTTTTTTCTGTAGTGTCTTATGTTTCCATGCAAAAAGAGCTGGCAGCTGAGTCAGCTGTAGGCTGACACAACACACATTTCTGTTTTTGTTGCTTTTCTTCTTGTGCCCTCCCATAGCAAATTAAAAATAGGAGAATGGCAATGAACTAAAATGGGTTCCTGCTTTTGTCACCAGTGAAGTTTCTTTGGTAGGGGTTTAATTTCTGCTCAGTGCATCACCAACATGTGCTGCACCAATTACTCCCTGTTCTTCCCAGTGATTTGGTCTTTTCCCTTCCCCACCCTCCCCCTCAGGAGTACAGTTTGCCACAACTGAGTTCCTTTGTTGTGTCACAGAGGATGTCATGGAGCCATGAAATTCTGAGGTCACTAACCACCAGATTTCATCCCCAGCACAAGCAGCCCTTCCACCTCTGCCAAGAAGTACCAGTGGAATATCAGAGCTTCTAAAAACAGCATAATGTTACACAACATCTCAGTGCCTCTTTGTGGAAGGAATGGCTCAGTGCAATGTCTGTCACAATCCTCTTCAATGCAATGAGCAAAACACTTTTATGAGAGGCAGCCCTTGGAAAAGACAACCCACTCATTCTGTGTCCTAATCCTGACAGCAGCCTGGCTTTCACTCTGCCTTTGGCATCCATCTGGGTTTTGTGCCCGAGTTCTGCTGTCTCAAATCCACAGTTCTGATTTTATTTAGATTTTTCTTCCCTCCTCTGTCTCCAGGTGGTCCAAGTTCTACTTTTAAGTACACCATGTTATAAAAATTCCAAGACAATTCACTTACCAGCCCAGAAAACCCTTTGCCCACCTGAGAYTTTCAGCCCTCAATCCATCATCCTCCCTCTGTAACACAGCCATTATTTTTAATAAGCACTATAGAAAGAYACAGCAGCACCAATACCAGGGGGAAGAGCCAGGCGTGCTGGCTCCTACAAGTTAAGGATTACAGATTCCATGTGTGGCTGGGGAAGGAGGCTTGGTTTGATTGTTTTCTTGTACCCTATATTTCTAGCTGTGCCTCAGCAGTGTTAAACTAAACCAGAAAGTGCTGCTCAGCAATGAGATTCCTTCTGAGATAATGGGAAGCCTTCACATAGATATTTCTCTCCCCACACGTTGAGTTACACACCAACGTTTTTAGAGAGTTTTTGTCCATCTTCCCTTAGTAAAAAYATTTATTTGGGCCTGAACTGGCCCCAGGTGCATGACAGCCCTGTGTTGTCCCTGCTCTCATGGGCAGAGCACTTTGTGCTGAATGCTGTGTACCTGGATGATGGATGACACAGGTCTGATCAAGTCATGGGCTTCCTGCCGGGTGTTATCCAGTGCTCTGATAAATGTAAACTGCTGCTGCTGGAAGATCTTGTAGTTCTGCTCTATCTTTCTTAGGGTCTCCACTGCCTCATCCATGTTTACTTATTTCTGTATCTGGGGCAAAAAAGGAGAGAAAGGAAGCYGCTTTTTAGGAATTAAGCAATTCTTCGTCTCACCTGAGTTGGRATTGWGTAYRTTAGTGGAAAACTTAAAAAARAAAAAAARTAAAAAKCAGGRAAAAGRGAAGATATATTGTGTCGAAGCCCTTCAGTCCCAGAGCCCCAAGCAGTAAGTCAATGAGGTAGTAATGATGCTGCAAAAAGAGGCAGAGAACCCAGMGGGGAGCACTGACAATCAGATGCCATAAACCCTAGTGGGTCTATTGTAAAGATAATGCGGCAATGCATCAACCGCGCGGCTGCGGCGGGGCCGCGGGGAGCCATGGCTTCTCTTATCGCTCTAAAACCATCGYCCCAGCGGCTTCCAAACTCCCCCGTTAACTGGAGCCGGCCGGGCACGCAGCGCTCGGTGGCGGAGCCGGGACCATGCTTAACCTGCCCCTCCTCAGAGCGCTGATTTTGACCCTGAGGAAAGATCCGAAGCTCTCGGGGAAGCCTCGCCCTCAGCCCCGCAACCCCCGCCCGCCTGAGCCCCCCAGCCCGTTCGTGCCCCGCTCCCGCCCCGGCAGCTCCTACCGGCCGGTGGACGGGCGGGGGCCGGTGGACGGGCGGGGGCCGGTGGACGGGCGGGGGCAGGAGGGGCCGGGCTGACAGGGGTGACCAGGCTGGGCAGGGTGACCGGGGGACAGCGCTGACCAAGGGCCCTCAGCCCCTCCGTTGCCGCGGCAACGGCGCCGCCGTTTCCCTGGCAACCGTCGCCGCTCGATGACGTTTCCCCTCTCCTCGTTGCAGTGAACGCGGCGGTGGCCACGCCCCCCCAGTGGCGCGAGGCCGTTTCCCGTCGCGCAGTGATGACGCGCGTTAGCAACGCGTCCCGTTGCTAGGGGCGCCATGGCGGAGGAGGAGGAGGAGGAGGAGGAGGGCCTGGAGGAAGCGGCCCGGCCGTGGCCGCCGCCCGCGGGCGCCTACGCGGAGGAGCGGGGGCTCTTCCAGCTCCTGCAGGTGAACGGGACCCCGCGCCAGCACCTCCGCAATGCCGGGGTGGCCAAATGGGCACGGGGGAGGCGGAGAGGGGCACGGGCAGCGCCCGGTGCGGGCTCCTGTGGACACTGAGGGGCGGCTGTCCGTGTGCGGGGACAGTCCGTGTGCGGGGCGCGGCCGTGGGCTCCTCCGCTAATTGTTTTAACTGGCGGTTCATACGTGTCTTTTGTTTTGCGGAAGAAAGGAGTCGGTAAAAGGCGAGGCAGGACGAGGAGAGGAGGAGAACGGGGAGAAAGGGGGACAGTGACAAATTAAATGCGGGATAAACGCGGTGAAAGTTTTGCCCTCGCTGTGCCGGGGCCGGTCACCGCCTGCTGATCATTCCCCGGTTAAAACCCTTCCTCTTTCTGCGTTCCTGTTGTGGCTGCTCGGGGAAGTGCGGGTCAAAAACAAAARGGAGAAAACTGCACTTCTTCTAGCGTCATTTCAGTACATAGCCAGATTGGTTTCCCTGGTTYAGAGAAGGGTGGGTTTTGTTCTCTAAGCTCGGAAAAGCCTCTGTGTCGTGCATGGGGAGGTTTGTGTGAATATTCTGATGCTGTTCTGATAGGAGAACTTGCTGGAGAGCCTTTCCCTGTGCGCTGCTAACTCTTAACTCTGTTAAAACARAATCAGTTTCACCTGTTCAGATCTCACTGAGATATACACACGTTTATTTATTTTTCTATTTTCCTTGTGCTATCGGGTTATCGGGTTTTTTTCTTTGTTTATTATGACTAGTGTGGCATAATATTTGTGATTTAAAAAAAAAAAAAATGCAATACTGTGTTTTGCAAGCCACGAGGCATTGAATGCAGGTGCAGGAACTCGTATTATTTAAAATGTTTATGGGATTTGCTCAGGGTCTTATTTTCTTTTTGTGCTTCAATTGTGTTGTACCAACATCGTGACACAAACGCAGCTTGAAATTTCCAAAAATGTTTACAAAACACAAAATGTAAAAATTACATGACACCCAAAATATGAACCTCCCCCAGAGATTAGCAGAACTATGCATGTGAAATTAAACTAAGTTTAGCAGAACTGAATACAATTAAGGGCTTGAAGGTAGGATTTGGGCAAGAAACAGTGACAGTGTCAATCACTGTCAGCCTGAATTATAATAATTGAATTATTGAATTATAATAAGCCAAGATTTTCTTAGGTTTGTTATTTTTAAAGTTGATAATAAGTRTAGTCCCAAATCCAGATTTCTTAGTTTACATAAATGTTGTTGGAAAGTAATAATTTTTAAATGAACTTGGAATARAAATAGAAATTTCATAGTTTATGCTCTGTGCTACCCAGAGCGTGAAGCATCAGAACTTGCAYGATAACCAGTTTATAAACAAAATTGAGTGTTTTAATTATTCTAATCAAGTGGATGAAGTAGAAAAGGAAAATAGGCCACTCTAATAAAAGACARTCAATTGGTGAGGACATAATGTTATGGACTATATGGACTTTATGGAATTTACTTGCAAATATAAAAGCATTATGACTGCTTTTTAGAAATAGATGTCTCTCTCTTGCAGTGTGAGTATTTCTGCAACTTATCTAAATTAGAACATTAGTTCTGTTTGATGTTTAGTTTTAATTACAGAACTCATGGCTGTGCTGAAATGTCTTACTAGGAAATCTATGGATTTCTCAGGGTGGTGCTTTTTTTTTGCCTGTAAAGCCAAAATCCTCCCTGAACACAGTGCAAGATCCCCACTGCTGTGGGTGGGAGCTGGAATGAGGCCCTGGATAACTTCATGGATTTAACAGGAAAATGGGCTCCAAAAGAGGCATTCAAGGCAATGCTTTAAGCCTTCTTCTTTTTCTTTTCCCCTCTCCCCACTCCTTTTCATGCAGGAGGGAAGGCTGGCACAGGTACAGATGTGAAATGTGCTGTTTCTGTGGGTTTGGCTGGTGGTCTGTGCTTTCCTTAGCTCTTGTCTTTTCTGCAATTCTCTGGGCCAGTCAGAAACTTGTGGGAATGTGCTGGAGAAGGTTCATCTTGCTCTGCAGACAGAAATTCAAATTAACTCAGGTTTTAAAACTCCTTGTACAATTTATATGTCAGTACTGCTTCAACCATTATTGACCCCAGGCTGCTCAAGTCAAACCTTTCCATATGWACCATAATAAGCCAAAATAAATAGGTTGGGAGGGGTATTATTGGCAATTTTCTGACCAGCTTCAGGTTTTCAGCATCTAAAATAGATTCTGGAGTCTCAATTTTGTCTGTAAAAGAAAATAAATAAGCATTTTTAAGCTGTTTAGGATCTTCATTGTAACATTGCTGTAAAAATCATGACTGTGGAGCTGTGTTAAGCTTTCCTCTGACTTTGTCCTATTTATTTCCAGAACATGCTTGAAGAGCTATTAATTCATAAGCCAGATGATCCCATTGAGTTCATGATAAACCATTTAAAGCAAAACAACGATGATGGTAAGTGAAAATGGAGACATCACAAATAGTTCAATTCCTGATTTGTAAACAGCTGCGCTGTGGTTGGCAGCTAATGGATCAAACTTTTCAAACTGTGTCTTGGGGAGGGAGGGAACCAAAAAAAAAAAAGTGAGCATTTTGGAATAGTTATAGGCAAGATGCTTTTAATTTCTTTTTTTTTTAGTGGGTAATCTAATAAAAAATGCACTTTAACAGTTATAACAATGAAACCCTCTAAGGGAATAACAAAGAGTTCTGGTGTATCAATTATTAATGCGTTCTGTGCCCCATCTGATATTTCCTGTTGTCTTTAAGCTCGCTAATTACTCCTTTTGTCAGGTGTAAATTTGGGTTCCTATTCTACCTGGGCTGGCAGATCCTCTGCTTTTTGATTAGTTTGTTACTCGCTGCTGTTAATGAGTTCCACTGCTCAGTGGCATCTCAGCTGAAGGAACAGTGAGTGTGTCTGCTCCTCTGTGTAACAAAACCTGGTAAATTGAATAGGAAGTCTGTATTCTGCACAATAAAAGCATGTACCCTCAATCAAATTATTTGATTTACAAACTGTTCACCCTTAGGCAGATTATATTTGGATATGCACAAGTGAACTGTAATTTTTGTTCTGCATGAGCTGTCAGGGAGAGCTGGTGTCATGGAGCTTTGATGTTTCTTTAAAACCAGAGTAAACCATTATGAAAGTTCTGCTGCAGCATCAATGAAATCATTATCACTGGAGGTGCTGCGATCTCGTTGATTGAAATGCTGCTAAATATGTTAAAGAAAAAAAATCAAACCCTGCAAATTGTGTCCAGCCTTTTTTGATGCAGGCAGCATGAATAATCAATCTGGTTTATAGATTCTTGGAAAATATGTGGAAGAATTTCCTGCAGTTTGATAGAATGCTGATAAAATTTCTTCACATTGGGCTAACATTTGTGCTGAAGCTCCACAGTATTATTCTAACAGAATTAGGAATGTTTCCATCTCATGACTTCAGTACTTGGAGGTTAGARACAGAACTACAGCAGATGTTTGTCAAGGGGAAAAATGCTGTCTGCTTTTGGTCTGGAAAACCCTGTTAAGGAARGAGAGGAACTCCAATKAAAATTAAAGCCTAAATGTTGTTTWAAGAATAAATTATATGGAAAATAACATAACAGAAACATGTAGCATAGTTGATTTTATTTTTTGATCATGGTGGAAGGTGCTGACTATTTAGGAAAAAAAAAACCTTATTAGAGCCATCAGTAAAGTGATGAATTTTCATGATCTTGCCTTGCTAGACAGTTTTAGCCCTAGAGAAAATTTCAAACAGAAATGTGYGGAAAAGAGGCATTGCATCTGTCCCAGGTGTGAAGTTAGAAAACCTTTTTAATTAATAATAGGATCTAAAGTACTTTTAAAAATATAAACAAGTCTAATAATTATAGCTTAAAACTGCCTCGAAAATCTCATAGGTCAAATGTGTGGCAAAATGTTTGTGCTTAGGGCTCTGTACTATTRTTCTTTCATGTGTTCCT